CATTGGGCCGGACCGGGCTTGACATGGGCCGGGCCTTACTGGGCTTGTTATGACAATCCACTATGATTTATAACACTCCCCCTTGGATGTCAGAACCGTCGTGAGCTAGTAATACGCTTGGGGATGTTGCCTCATTAAAACATTACCAGGAAAACCCATTGGGATAAAACCGTGGTGAAGGAAAAAGAGTACAACACGTATTACTCCCCCTCATTTGAAGCTCATTGAAGATCTTTCAACCGGCGCATTCCAATTTGCTTTATAAGCTTCTTTAATGTTGAGGTTGGAAGCGACTTGGTGAATAGATCCGCCGAGTTGTCACATGATTGAACTTGTTCGACTTGAACCTCTCCGGCTTTCTGTAATTCATGAGTGAAGAAGAACTTCAGCAAGATGTGCTTCGTCCTATCTCCTGTTATGTATCCATCTTTGAGCTGAGCTATGCAGGCAGCATTATCCTCATACATTATTGTTGGTGCTGCCTTCCCTTCGGTCATCCCACAATCGATCATAATATGTTGAGTCATGGACCTCAACCAAATACATTCACGGATTGCCTCATGCATCACCAAGATTTCAGAATGGTTGGACGAAGTTGATGCGATCGTTTGCTTTTGAGATCGCCAAGATATTGCCGTTCCACCGTATGTGAAAACGTAGCCAGTTTGAGATCGACCATTGTGCGGATCCGAGAGGTAACCTACATCAGCAAAACCAACTAATCCCTCCTTGAGATGGTTAGTGTAAAACAAACCCAAATCTTTCGTACCTTGTAGATAACGAAGAATATGTTTTATCTCGTTCTAGTGCCTTTGGGTTGGACAAGAGCTAAATCTAGACAATAGATTCGTGACAAAACATATATCCAGCCTAGTGTGGCTCACCAGATACATTAGAGCTCCGATGGCACTTAGATATGGCAATTCGGGACCGAGGACATCCTCGTCCTCTTTCTTAGGACCGAATGGATCTGTATCCAAGTCAAGTGACCTCACAACCATGGGGCTAGTCAATGGGTGAGATCGGTCCATATTAAACCGCTTGAGTACCTTTTCTGTATATGCCATTTGATGCACAAGGCTTCAATTATTGATGTACTCAAGCTGTAACCCCAAACAGAATTTTGTTTTCCAAGATCTTTCATCTCGAATTCATTTTTCAAATATTCCACTGTTTGGGTTATTTCACCAGAGGTACCCAGGATATTTAGATCATCGACATAGACCGCGCGATGATCACAGACCCCTTATCAAATTTCCTTATAAAAATACAAGGACTTATGGGGTCGTTCTTATAGCCCTTTTTGATCAAATACTCGCTTAGTCTATTGTACCACATGCAACCTGATTGTTTTCATCCATACAGGGATTTATCCAATCTTATGCAAAAACGTTCTCGAGAACTTTGCTTATCTTTGAGCTCAATGCCCTCTGGGACTTTCATGTATATTTCATTATCCAGTGGACCATATAAGTATGCGGTTACAACATCCATTAACCGCAAGTCTAAATCATGTCTTATGGCCAGACTTATTAGGAATCGAAAGGTAGTAGCATCCACCACAGGGGAGTACGTTTCCTCATAATCGATTCCCGGCCTTTGTGAGAATCCTTGTGCAACAAGCCGTGCTTTATATCTCACGATTTTACCGTGTTCATTTCTTTTCCTCACAAAGACCCATTTATGTCCAACTGGCTTTATATTAAGAGGTGTTTTATGATTGGACCAAACACATTCCTCTTCTTTAATGATTTTAACTCCACGTCAATGGCCTCTTTCCATTTGCCCCAATCCGGTCGTTGGGTGCATTCTTTTATGGACGTGGGTTCTAGATCCTCGGATATTAATTTCATTTCAAGTGCTACCTTGTATGCAAATATGTCGTCGACGTCGACTTCTTTGCGGTTCCATTTTATCCCGGACATAAAATAATCGATTGCAATCTCATTATTATCATGAACATAATCAGTACCTTGAAGCTTGGCGTCCCAAGTCTCATTAGTAGGTAACTGAGGTTCGGTTATGTCACGGGTACCCACCACGGTAACCTCGGAATTATTCATAGCACCTTTCTTTGTTTTCCGAGGATTTTTATCTTTGGAACCTATTGGTCTGCCTCGTTTCAAACGGGCTTTAGACTCTGTAGCCACTTGATTGTGTCCTTCTTGAAAATCAATTCTTATAGGTGCATTCATAGCTGGTATATGTGATTGAGTCACTCTTTTCGGGTCAGCAAAGGAATCTGGCAATTGATTAGCTAGCTTTTGCATATGCAAAATCTTTTGGACCTCTAGGTCACATTGCATAGTCCGAGGATCTTGCCATGATAAGGATGTTTGATTCCATGAAATTTTCTTTACCAGCTTATGATTATTATGATCTCCCCCTAGTGGTGGGTAAGTGGATTCGTCAAAATGACAATCCGCGTACCTGGCCTTGAATACATCACCGGTAGTCGGCTCAAGGTACTTTATAATGGTGGGAGATTCATATCCAACATATATCCCCATCCTCCTCTGAGGACCCATCTTAGTTCTCTGTGGTGGAGCTATTAGTACGTATACGGCACAGCCGAATACCCTTAGATCAGATATGTCTGGCTCATGACCCGTTAATAATTGTTTCCGGGAATATGTATGTTCACTAGATGGCCTGATGCGAATTAATTCGGCTGCGTGTAAGACAACATGTCCCCAAGCTGAGATCGGGAGTTTTGATCTCATAAGCAACGGTCTGGCTATTAATTGTATACGTTTTATTAACGATTCTGCCAGACCGTTCTGTGTATGTACATGTGCCACAGAGTGCTCCACACTTACCCCCATGGACATACAATATGCATTAAAAGCTTGGGACGTAAATTCACCAGCATTATCAAGACGTATAGTCTTTAAAGGAAAGTCTGGAAAGTGTGCTCTTAGTCTTATGATTTGAGCTAATAACCTCGCAAACGCCAAGTTGCGGGTCGATAATAGACATTCATGGGGCTATCTTGTGGATGCATCTATTAGTACCATAAAGTATCGAAACGTCCCACAAGGTGGGTGTATCGGTCCACAAATGTCACCATGTATTCTTTCCAGAAAATTTATCGTTTCCTTAGTCACTTTAACTGGTGACGGCCTTATTATGAGTTTCCCTTGTGAACATGCCACACACGTGAGGCTTTTAGGGATAACTCTTTTCTCATTGAACGTGTGTTCATATGAGTTCATGATTATTTTTCGCATCATGCTCGACCTGCAGTGGCCAAGCCGGTCGTGCCATAGAGTAAATCTCTCGGTAAACCCTTTGTTTACCGTGGCATTGGCTTCAATCATACTTGCCTTAGCATAGTAGATGCCAGTTGATATAGCGGGTATAGTCTATAGGACTCTCTTATGGCCTTGGGCAATTTCGTAAATCATAAGGAACTCTTTGTTTCCTTCGCCCTTGGTTTCAATATGAAAACCATTCATTCTAATATCTGTAAAAGATAATAGGCTCCTCTTGGAGCTGGGTGAATATAGCGCATTAGAAATCTCTACATGCGTACCCATGGGCAATATTATGTGGGCTTGGCCGTAGCCTTCAATTAAATTGGCCATACCCGCTATGGTACTTATATTGGCGTTTTTAAGTGTTAGATCAATGAAGTATCTCTTATCTCTTGAAATCGTGTGGCTTGCCCCACAATCCACCACGAATGTATCCATGCCCTTTGGTATACTTCAAAAATAAGAATTTAAATCTTAACATTTTATAAAAATATTCTCATATTTTATTAAAACCAAAATAATAGAGATAGATCCATAGTAATTATTGAGAATACATCAAATTATTATAGAGAACTATAAAAGCTTAACAAAGCCTGATGTCAAAACACTTGGTTTATTCAAGGCAATCGGAAGTCTCCATGAGATCATCCTTGACATGATCGAAATCATCCTCTTTGTCATAATGCACCAAATGAGCTTACGGATTCTTCCCTTTGATACTCTCTTGATAGAGGTCAACAAAATACTTGGGAGTCCGACAATTCTTAGCCCAATGGTTCCCCATCCCACATCTATGGCAAATAGTTTTTCCGGTCGGGTTTTGCGGTTTTGAAGATGTACCACGGCTACGGCCTTTTCCGCCGTGATACCCGCGGCCTCGACCTTGTCCATGACCGGAGAAGTGACTACGGTCACGTCCTTGCCATTTACCACGTCCACGGCCGGATGTTTTATTATCTCTTTGGACGTGGTGAGCCTCTTTGGCTTCTTTCTTATCCGATGCAACATCATTGGCTTCAGGGAGTGGGGCTGTCCCGGGAGGTCTCATCTCGCTATTTCCCATTAGCAATTCATTGTTTTGCTCAGCGAACAACAAACATGAGATCAGACTTGCATATGTCTCAAAGCCCTTTTCACGATATTGTTGTCGCAACAATACGTTACTTGTGTGGAAGGTGGAGAAGGTTTTCTCAAGCATATCCTTCTCACTTATCTCTTCTCCACACAGTTTCAAGATAGAGACTATCTTAAACATGGCCGAGTTATATTCGTGCACGGATTTAAAATCCTGGATGCTGAGATTCCTCCAATCATACATGGCCTTTGCTAGTAACACCGTACGTTGGTGATCATAACGATTTTTGAGTTCGTTCCAAAGGTCCAAGGGATTCTCAATAGTCACGTACTGATCCTTGAGACTCTCCACAAGGTGATGGCGAATAATGAGTATAGCCTTATACTTGTTTTTATCGGGTTCTTCATTGCCATCAACAATACATTCACCGAGCCCTTTTGATTTTAGGATGATCTTAGCATCCAACGCCCATTGAAAGTAATTATCTCCCGAGAGATTAAGGGCGGTAAAGTCCAAGTTGTTCAGTTTTGACATCTGAAAAGAAGGAAAAATGCTTATGATTAGGTTTCATTATAAACCTTTTATTACCGTTGCCCGTTCCAATCGCTCGGTAGAGAGGTAGTCCGCGCATCAGTTCAGACGAGTATAAACTCGCCGAGCCGCGTCCCCTTTTCTCCGAACAATCATCCCGGACAAGGTCGATGCACTGTCTTATGATTCTCATATCTTGTACCTCATGATCCCATATCTCATGGTTTTATAATCTCATCATGTCAAATGACATTCATATTCATCATGTATTCATACGATTTTAAACAAGCATCCTAGCATGCGATTTCTATAAGATCAAACACCCATCATGCAATTCAAGCATATAATTTCATGATCTTAATACTTTAGAATTTATCATGCAGTTCTAGGTGCTCAAGCATTGATCGATTTTATTTTAGAAAAATATTAGGGCGATCATGCATTCATATTCGATTTTCATGTTAATCATATATTAGGATTTCATAAATTCATATTAATATAAACAAGCAACAATCCATATGAGAAACAAGTTTATAATCGATTTTAGGGTTACATGAAAAGTAGTTCAAAGAACAATCTCATATTTTACGGTTTCAAAATATCGCATGAAAAGCAGTACAAACAACAATCACATGTTTTAGGGTTTCATATTTGCATGTGAAAAGTACTTTAAACAACAATCTCATATTCATGGGGTTTTGTAAAATCATATGAAAGTACTTCAAACAACAATCACATGTTCAAGATTTTATGGTTTTAAGTTTGTAAACATGAAACAATGGTTTTAGGATTCATGTTGTTTACCTCTTGAACACCTATTGAATTCTGAATGGATTTGGACCGGTAGCTAAAGACCTCAGTAACTCAAGCTTCTGCAACGAGCCGCGATGAACAGTACCGGCGGTGAACAGTGTTGCCGATGAACAGTATCGTGATGAATAGTACCGAGATGAACAGTACGCCGAGATCTTTTAGGTTTAAGGTTTAGGGGCGATTTTAGCTTTAGCTTTTAGGGTTTAAAGAATCGTGCTGATAACGTGTTATATACTAGAGAGAATAGATAGGGAACTGGGATACTTTATTCATTAGCTTAGAGCCATATATATATAGGTTCATACAGGGAGGTTACAAGTAAACCCTAATACAACTAGGAATAGGTTACACCTCCATAACATTGGGCTGGACCGGGCTTGACATGGGTCGGGCATTACTGGGCTAGCTTGTTATGACAATCCACTATGATTTATAACATATTCCGTATAATTAATAATTGTCAATACGTTATCGTGCTCACATAAATGTAGAGTGGTGCAATCAGTCACGTTCAATAAAACATCTTTTCAAATATATCAGCGAATGACCAGATTATATCATAGTATCTGTAGGAGAAGAGGATGAAGAAAATGAAATAAAACAATAATTTAACTGCAGGTAGGTATAGTAAAATTATAACTCTATTATATTTAAACATATTGATGTTCAAGGTAACACTATTATACTTAAATCATGTGTTTCTGTAGATATGTATCAGCATGCGAAGCTACATGGAGAATATTAGCTTCCCCGATATGTTATCGTACAACGCCTGTTGGAAAACTGCCCGTCCATCTTCCTGGCTAGGAATTGGTTATTTATAATGAGGATGATCCAATAGAAAATGTTATGTCAAGCTCAACAAATGGAGGAGGAAAATTATTAGCATGGATGGAATGCAATAGACTTGACCCTGAAGCTAGGAAGTTAACGTATGCCGAATTTCCGACCGCTTATGCATGGTATAAAAAAGAAAAAATGTGGAATCTGAGATCAAGGAAAAGAAAACGTTTTACAATAGGAAGGATTACGTACGTACCACCTTCTATATGGGATGCTTACTACTTAAGAGTTTTGCTTGATAAAATTCCAGGTGCGACCAGCTTCGAATTCTTGAAAACGGTAAACGGGGTTCTTGTGGGTACCAGAACTGGCATTCCGGGCTAACGACCTACTTCGCTGCCGGGCTGTGAACCAAAGCCCACTAAAGGAGCTGATCCCGGCCCGCTAGGCATGTGCTGTCAAGGAATCTAGAGTTCGAAAAGAGAATCAAAACGGGCTATCAGCGGGTCAAGCGGAGCCTTGATGAGGAAAGCGTGATTTACGGAGCGAAGCCCGCTGGTCATTAAGTGCATGTTAGAATAGTATAAGTAGGGAAAAAGACTAAGTGTAAAGGGGGTCGGATTTTTGACTAAAAATACTGAATAAAACTTAAAGCAATTTTTCTCTCGTTTAGCAAGTATTATTACAAGTTCGGACAGGGAATCAGGAACCCACTCAAGTTCGTCCCATCTCCCGTTCGTGGATCCCACTCCCACATTTTGGCGCCGTCTGTGGGGACCCTTATTCCCTAACCCACCGTTTCCTTGTTTCTGACCTCCAATCATCAGCCTAGCAAGATGTCGAGTGATGACAGCCAGGTAACTCTCAATTCTATTCAAAAATTACTACAGGATTTATCTGGTAAGACGGAGCAGCAGCAGTCGGCTACAGCTGCACTCTCGGAGAAGCTCGGAGGTTTCGAAGAGCGGTCCACCGCTCAGGTGGCCGCCCTGTCCGAGACCGTCTCCGAGCTTTCCAGCGCCCATAATGCCTACGCGGCTCAGGTGGATGCGCTCATGGAGGGAACATCTGTTGGCACTACGTTCCGCAGGCCCCGGGTGCTGGACTTTGGAGGGACGTTACCAACAGCATCTCGGGGGAGCGGGCGGCCATTTCAGACTCCGGAGATCAGCCAAGGGAGGCTGGTCTGTCGATGTCAGCGCTCCCGCAGAGGGCGGCCATTTCAGACTCCGGTCGGGAAACTCCCCCTCCTGCGAGTAGGAACTCCACGCCTGGTCATATCCGCACTCCACCTCGGCATGCGGGGGTGGTTGTGCCCAACCCCGAAATTTCATTCCTCCAGAACGAAATCCGGGCCATGCAGTCAAAGGTCCATCATGCGACGAGCTCTGCTCCGGACATTGACCGGGTTATCGAGGAGTCGAATCGAACTCCTTTCTCGCTTAGAATTTCAACAATGCGTATTAAGGATGCGCGAAAAGTCAAGTTTCTCAGCTACGAGGGGAAAGGGGACCCTAAGGTTCACCTCCATACTTTCCTCCTTACGGTGGGAAGGGTAGATTTGGAGTCTCATGAGGAGGACGCAGGGTATTGCAAGCTCTTCGCTGAAACGTTTGTCGGACCAGCCCTCCTGTGGTTCGCTTCGCTTCAGGAAGGCACGATCGATAGCTTTACCCAGCTCTCCACGACATTCGTGAAACAGTATTCTAGTTTCATAGGAGTTGGGGTGACCGACGCTCATTTGTGGAATCTAAGTCAGGGACCAAACGACTCACTTCGGTCTTATATCACAAAGTTCAAAGAGATAATGGTCCAGATCCCAGGACTCTCCGATTCGGCTGCTTTGTCCGCCCTCAAGAACGGTTTGTGGCATGAATCCCGGCTCCGGGAAGAGTTGACGGTAATCGTCCATCCAATATCCAGGATGCCCTTCATCGAGACTCGAACTGGATAGTGGCGGAAGAGGAAAAAGCCGCGCTTGCGAAGAAGGACAAGGTGAGTCCCAAGCCGAGCTTCGATCAAGGAGCCCGGCGGAGTTCGCAGGGTCAAAGGCCGGGGCCGGGCACCTTCGCGGTGGATCACCAGAAGGGAGGTCCGAAAGGGGGGCTATCGAAGTCAGGGTTCGGACCACGAGGTAGGAACGGGGCCTCACCCACCAATAAATGGATCCGAGAGGAGCAGGACGATGACTCCTTCTGCGAACTCCACAAGGTCGCTGGACATGCTACCAGGAACTGCAAAAAGCTAATGCACCTGCTTGCGGAGAGATTCGTCAGCGGGGGGATGCCAGATATAACAATTGATGAGCTCGATCAAGCGCAAAACGCTGTCCAGCTCGTGGCTGAAGTGGCTCCTGAGGAGGAGGAGCTTCCTCCGGCAAAGAAGCCTAAGGCCCTTATTGAAGAGATCCCCCAAGGAACGAAGAAGCGTATTGACGTGATTATGGGGGGGGTCCAGGATGTTCCGGAACTCCATTAGAGCCATAAAAGATCACGAGAGGAAACTGAATGAGTCAGTTTCGAAGAGGCAGAAAACGTGCGAAGTTTACCCCGAGATAACTTTTTCTGAGAAGGAGACTGAGGACCTAGACTCCCCCCACGATGACGCTCGGGTCATTACTTTGGATGTAGCGAACCACGAAATGTGCAGGATATTGGTCGATACAGGGAGCTCGGTAGACCTAATCTTCCTGGACACACTCGTCAGGATGGGGATCGATAAGAGTCATATTACCGGACCTCCGGCTCCTCTGGTATCGTTTACCAGCGAGACCTCAATGTCTTTGGGGACCATAACCCTCCCGGTTGCCGTGCAAGGGACGTCTAAAATAATAGAGTTCACTGTCTTCGATCGACCTGCAGCTTACAACGCCATTATAGGGACTCCGTGGTTATACCAAATGAAGGCAGTCCCGTCTACTTACCACCAGTGCGTCAAGTTTACAACGCCGAGCGGAGTCCACGAAATCTTGGGCAGTCAGCGCGTAGCTAGGAGCTGATATCTAGCCGGACACAAGCTATTGGTCCAATAGCAACCACAGCTCGGGGGCGCCAAGAACCCGATGAAGGGCAAGATTAGCGGCGACCTCTACGAGGAAATAGAGTTGAATGAGTTGTTCCCCGAGCAGAAAGTTAAAATTGGGGCGGGTTTGTCCCCGGAAGTTAAAGAGGAGTTGGTCAGCTTCTTACGCCGGAATAAGTCAACCTTCGCATGGGAGGTGAAAGAAATGGTTGGTATCAATACCAACGTGATAACACACGAGCTCAATGTCGACCCGGCCTTCAAGCCAGTTCGGCAGAAGCGTAGGAAGTTGGGAAAAGAGCGGGCTGACGTAGTAAATGCCGAGGTGGACCGATTACTCGAAGCTGGGCTTATCCGAGAAGTCCAGTACCCAGAATGGTTGGCGAATACGGTGGTTGTCAAGAAGAAAAATGGCAAATCACGGGTTTGTGTTGACTTTACTGATCTAAATAAGGCGTGCCCTAAGGATAGTTTCCCTCTCCCGCATATTGACCGACTGGTGGAGTCCACCTCGGGGCACGAACTACTCACGTTCATGGACGCTTTTTCAGGCTATAACCAAATCATGATGCACCCCGACGACCAAGAGAAGACGTCTTTTATTACGGATCGGGGAACCTTTTGCTACAAAGTAATGCCATTTGGATTAAAGAACGCGGGGCGACCTACCAACGATTGGTTAACAGGATGTTCGCCGAGTTATTGGGAAAAACGATGGAGGTGTACATTGACGATATGCTGGTGAAGTCGATGAACTCCAGTCAGCACGTCGGGCATCTCGAGGATTGCTTCGCGATCCTCAATAAGTTCGGTATGAAATTGAATCCCACCAAGTGCACATTCGCAGTTCCTTCGGGGGAGTTCTTAGGCTACATTGTGACCGAAAGAGGGATTGAGGCGAACCCGAGGCAAATTAATGCTTTCTTGTCAATGACGTCGCCACGGAACCTTTGCGAGGTGCAGCGCCTGAATGGAAGAGTCGCAGCACTTAATAGATTCATCTCGAGATCCACCGACAAATGTCTGCCTTTCTTCGAGCTCCTCCGGAAGGGCAATAGGAGGTTCCGGTGGGATAAACAGTGCGAGGAGGCGTTCGGGCAACTAAAACGATATATGTCTGAACCCCCCGCCCTCGCTAAACCCGAGCTCGGAGAACCCCTCTTCCTTTATGTCGCAGTGTCGGATCACGCCGTTAGTGGGGTGTTGGTTCGGGAGGAGAGGGGGGACCAGAGGCCGGTGTTTTACGTAAGTAAAACCTTCACGGGAGCCGAAGCACGTTATCCTATGATGGAAAAGTTGGCCCTGGCCGTGGTTACCTCGGCTAGGAAACTTCGGCCGTATTTCCAATCCCATACGGTCGTGATCCTAACTTCGCAACCCTTGAGGACTATTCTTCATAGCCCAAGCCAGTCCGGAAGGATGGCGAAGTGGGCAATCGAGCTTAGTGAGTATGATCTGGAGTTCCGGGCTCGAACCGCCGCTAAATCTCAGGTACTCGCCGACTTCCTGGTCGAATTGCCTATTGCCGGAGCAGAGGGGGAAGTGTAAGGACCTTGGATCCTCCACGTGGATGGAGCCTCGTCTAAACACGGTAGCGGTGTCGGAGTAAGACTTCGTGCACCCTCTAACGAAGTGATTGAACAGTCGTTTAGGTTAGCATTTGACGCCTCGAATAACGAGGCCGAGTACGAAGCATTGTTAGCTGGGCTCCGGTTGGCCGCGGGAATCGGGGTCCGACAGCTCCGTGCTTTTTGTGATTCACAGTTGGTGGCAAGTCAGTTTTCGGGTGAATACGAGGCAAAAGACGGGCGCATGGAAGCTTACTTAGCTGCAGCAAGAGAATTAGCCGAACGGTTCGAGCACTTCGAACTGGTAAAGATTCCGAGGGCCGAGAATTCGGCTGCTGATTCGCTAGCATCCCTCGCTTCAACTTCGGACCCTACGTTTACTCGAATTATCCCCGTGGAGGTCCTGGAATGTCCCAGCATCTGCTTAAGTGAGGTAAATGTCCTTACTAGGTCGATGCAACGCCGACTTGATAGGGGAGAGGCGGTGCCCGAGAGGACGGTTGTCCCTGCCAGGACCGTCAGAGTTCGGAGGGACGCTCCAGTCCCTATGGATCTCTCTTCCCCTGAAAGTGGGGAAAGGTCCGAAGCATTATCCGGAACCCCAGATGCCCGAACTCCTTATAGCAAGGAACCCGGGGGGAAAAATCTGGAAGTGAACCAGAGTCCCCTATTGGTAGCCAGGGAATGGACTGGAGAGCTCCTATCCTGGCTTACCTAAAGGGAGGTGAGCTCCCCTCGGATAAGTGGCAAGCTCGGAAGATTAAGATCATATCGGCCAAGTTTTGCCTACACAACGAGGGCCTACTTCGTCGTAGCATCGGAGGTCCGTACTTAACCTGCATCGCCGGCGAATCACCAAGGATAGTAATGCGGGCGATCCATGAGGGACCTAGCGGGGATCACTCGGGGGCCCGGACTCTGGTGGTCAAGGTTAAGCGTTATGGTTTCTTTTGGCCGACGATGAAGGCGGACTGCGAAGAGTACGTGAGGAACTGTGAAAAATGCCAGAAGCACGCACCAACGATTCACCTACCTTCGGAACTTATGTCGTCGATTTCGGCTCCGTACCCGTTCATGAGGTGGTCGATGGATATAGTAGGACCACTGCATAACTCGACAAGGGGAGTAAGATTCCTACTGGTTCTTACCGACTACTTCTCTAAATGGGTGGAGGCGGGTGCATACTCCTCTGTAACGAGCACTCAGGTCCAGCAATTCGTGTGGAGAGACGTGATTTGCCGTCACGGACTCCCATACGAGATTGTAACCGATAATGGATCACAGTTCGTATCGAAGCAATTCGAAGCTTTTTGTGCCCATTGGAAGATTCGGTTAAGCAAGTCCACGCCTCGTTACCCGCAGGGGAACGGCCAGGCCGAAGCTATGAATAAAGTAATCTTGGCTAATTTGAAAAAACGGCTGGATTCGTATAAAGGGCGATGGGCTGAAGAGCTGCAGGGCGTGTTGTGGGCCATCCGAACTACACCTCGACGGTCGACGCATGAAACCCCTTTTTCGTTAGTATATGGGATGGAGGCAGTAGTTCCGGCGGAGCTCGCTGTGCCAGGAGTCCGGGTAACTTTGAATCCCAAAATACCCGAGGAAAACGAAGAATCTCTTCGGGATGCCATAGATTTTATCGATGAAAAGCGCGATCGAGCTCTGGTTCGTTTACAACATTACCAAAGTACGATCGCAAAGTATTATAACTCAAGGGTCAGGAACCGCGAACTCAACGTAGGTGACCTTGTGTTAAAAAAGGTTTATGAGAATACAAAGGAGGTTAACGCCGTGAAACCCGGCATAAATTGGGAAGGTCCTTATAGAATTACTTCCGAAGTGCGTAGCGGGGTCTTCCGCTTGGAGGAGCTGACTGGGAAACAAGTGCCCAAGTCGTGGAATGCCTTGCACCTTAAGCTTTTTCACACTTTTTAGGAAATACGCATTTATCATTTGTAACCGAACTACGGTGCGCTTGATCCCTAGTCGGGTACGTAGGCAGCTCGGTTTGTCGAGTCCAGCTAGCAATATTTATTTTCCGAAAAAAGCGGTAATAAAATAGTTCCCGTGTCTTGAAAACAAAGCAAGTAAGCAATAACCAATAGCTGAAATTAAAGCAAATTAAGCAGAAATCAAAAGCATAAGAGCGTGACCTCCGTGGTCAAAAAACACTCAAGTATAAGTCTTAATGAAAAGCGAAGCGATAGGAAATAGTTTAAACAAAAGGGGGGTCAAAGACCAACACAACCCCAGCAGAAAGTTAGTTGAGTTCAGGATCCGCGGTACAATCTCCGGAGCGAGCTGACGAAGGGCCGGCCGGTTTGCCTACGAGAGCTCCACCACTCTCAGGGGTGGACATCTCGCGCACCTCCTTGCTAAGGCCCGGTTTGATCGCCTCCAGTTCCTGGTTCGGCACAGCAGGGGGGTCAGTAGCGGGCTCCTCGATCATTAGGGTGGTAGGAGCAGGATCCGGCCCGAGTTCGGGGGGAGTGTCTGCCAGTAAAGCAGTGAAGGACGTAGGGTCGAAGGTTAAATTCTTTACCTTTTCGGCTTCGAGTTGGGCAGTTAGCTCGTCAGCCTTCAGAGTTTCAAGCTCCTCCTTCAGATCGGCGATTTCTCCCCTCTCGATCTCCTCCACCTGCATTCGATTGGCGGTGATCTCAGCAGCCCGGATTGCATGGGGAATCATGCGGTCATGCTCCAAGAGATAGGCCCCGATCTGATCAATTGTGCTCCGAAGCTCGGCCCGCGTCTTCCTTCGCTCCTCTCTCCTTACCCTCTCCATCTCAGAGCTGTTACCCGCTTCCAGAAGCTGATTCCGAAGTTTGATCTCCTGAAGCTCTTGCTTCGCCTCCGTTTCGGCAGTGGTCGCCTTTAGGTACAGCTCACCGGCCAGTTGGAGCTTATCCTGGCAAGTCTCCAGGGATGACTCGGCGATCTGCAGGTCACCCTCGACGGTTCTAAGCCTCTTGTTGAATTTAACCGCCTTCTCCACTTCGGCACGGTTAGAGGCCTCCGAGGACCTGAGCTTCTTCACCTCCTTTTCGAGTTCGGAGATCCGGGCCTGTAAAACCCCTATTTCGCTGGCTGAGGGACTGACGAAGAGTTGCTCTTCGTAATGAGCCACCGAGCTGTTAAACTCGAACAACATCTGCCAAAGGTAGAAAAAAGTTTATAAAGGTACAGGTACTGGGATTAGCGAAACAAAAAGAGTGGGTTTTATCTCGCCGACTTTCTCAGCAAAGCGTAAGTAGTCCTCCTGGTTGTTTACGGACATGTCCTTAAAGGCAGGAACCCGAGCTCCAGGTCGGCTGACGCTCCGCATCATGTCGGCTAGGGATTTCGGCGGAGCTGCGAGCAAGGTAGTAGTATTAGACCAAGGAGGTTTAAGTAAAAAATATATAGGCCTCTTAGTAGGTAAGTTACACGGAAGTTCGCGCCTCGGGGTCACTTTCGGGTCGGCAGGACTCGGGGTCGCAGGCAAAGATCCCTTCGAGGCAGGGGTCTCAGCGGGCTTCTCCTCGGTGCGGAGCCTTGAGCTTGCACGTACCGGGCGTGCAGGTTCGACGGCCTTCCGTTTCTTCGGCTCACTGGCCTGGCCATCTCCCGGAGTTGGACGAGCGGCGGGAGACTCGGCGCTTACGTCGCTATCGGGAAGTGTGATCACTTCGCGACCTTCACCCTCCGGGGGAGCAACCGAACTAGAGGACTTCTCCTTCGAAGAGTTTTTTATCTTGGCATCCGCTAACGCGGCAACCATCTTCTTCTTCAGCTCCTTCTCTTTCAGCTCCATCTTTTTCTTGTGAGCTCTCTATTCGCGGTAGTTCATCTTGGGGGGAGCGGACTGAGGGGAGGAGACAGTGAGAAATCGGGTGCGAATACGGGCGCCGGCCTCGCGGATCCGAGGGCAGGTAAAGGAGTCCCAAGCAGTCTCAGCACCACCGAACGTGGTGAAGTAGTCCGCGTAGGTCTGAGACAACAGCCCGCGGTCAAGGGAAGCTGAAAAAACAAAGCACAAAATGAGTTAGCATCCCGAGCTGTTAAGGTTATCACAAAGAGTTCGCTAATCTCCTCGCAGTTCTACCAGGTTTCTGAGACCAGTGCGGAACAAGCAGCTCTTGCAGATCGCCAAAGGTGTCTCGGTTCACTGGGAAGAAGAAGTAGTCGCTTCGGTACTGCTCGTCCTTTTCGGGGAAGTCATCGAAGACCCGGAACCCCGCCAGCGGACTGAGGTAGAAGGTACCTCTAGTTCGGCCACTTTTTATTGTGTAGAGATGGAGGATGTCCTGAAAGGTTATAAGGTAGCCGTGCTCCTCGGCTAGGGTCTGGAGTCAGAGGATAGTTCGGACGAAATTAGGGCATAGCTGGGGAAGGGTGATGCCGAGTGCGAACATCGCCTTCACCAGGAGCTCCGGCAGCGGAAAGTATAGGCCGCACCTCGAGAAAAAGATCTCGTAGGCGCAACAGTACCCAGGGGGGGTCTTCCGGTGATAGATCATTCCCCGGAGCGATAAGCTCCGCCTCAGACGGGAGACCGCAGAGGAACTTGATGTGCACCGGGTTTTCTTCCTTGATCGTTGACCTGGGATGCGGGCCGAATTGACCGGAAAGAGAAGTATCTCCGGTCGTCAGAGTTTGCTTTGGCGGCGACATGAGTAAACCGAGAATCGAACGAAGGCGAGGCGGAAAAAAGCGAATACGGCGAGAGAATTCGTCCGAAAATAAACAGAGAAAAGTAGAGTGAAAATCGAAAAGTAAAATAAAGTGAAGGAGAGGGATTTCTACCTTTATAAAGACTTGACGGCGGCGACCAAATGATTACCTAGGGAAGCTAGAAGGTCACATCCTTTATAGCCAGCGGCTTAGGGATTCCGAAGCGGCAAAACCGGGGCACGGTAATCCGAAAAGGCAACCTCGAGTAAATACAAATCAATCATATCGAACTTGGGAATCGGAGTTTCTTTAAATACCTCGCATTAAAGTCTCCCGAACTGAATCACTTCGGAAGACTTGGGGGGCTTACTGTGGGTACCGGAACTGTCATTCCGGGCTAACGACCTACTTCGCTGCCGGGCTGTGAACCAAAGCCCACTAAAGGAGCTGATCCCGGCCCGCTAGGCATGTGCTGTCAAGGAATCTAGAGTTCGAAAAGAGAATCAAAACGGGCTATCAGCGGGTCAAGCGGAGCCTTGATGAGGAAAGCGTGATTTACGGAGCGAAGCCCGCTGGTCATTAAGTGCATGTTAGAATAGTATAAGTAGGGAAAAAGACTAAGTGTAAAGGGGGTCGGATTTTTGACTAAAAATACTGAATAAAACTTAAAGCAATTTTTCTCTCGTTTAGCAAGTCTTATTACAAGTTCGGACAGGGAATCAGGAACCCACTCAAGTTCGTCCCATCTCCCGTTCGTGGATCCCACTCCCACAGTTCTTTATGGAGAATTTAAAGATGCTTGCTATGCATTAGGATTATTGGATGATGACAAGGAATATATATTTCAGCCATAAAAGAAGCAAGTTTTTGTTGTCTTGGGAAGTACATGAGGCACATTACGAGAGGTGAAACCATGGGTTGAGAATGAACATGGGGTCCACTGAAAAAGTTGACTGTCCGGTCGTTACAGTAGTAGTATCGGTTTTTATTTCCTAGGTAGTTTTTAGTCTATGAGTTTTAATGTCATGTAATTCATTACTTTTAGCTCTCTCCTGGTTAACAGTTTTGAATATTAAGTTGTAGTTCTATGGAAGATTAATATAAAAAAACACAATTTCTTATTATAGATTTGATTGTGTCCATACTTATTCCAACATTAACAAGAAACCATATTGAAACACTGTTAAAAAGAAGAAATTTTCTTAGAAGATCTTGAAATGCCATTAAAAATTGAAATCAAACAAGACCTAGATTTAGTGTAACCAATCAAAGCGAATTGAATAAACCAAAATTTTGGGGAAAAGGCCAAGAGAGCCCAACAAACCTAATTTATTTAGCCAAGAGAGCCCAACAAACCTAATTTATTTAGGTGCCAAATGAAAACCGCCAAAAGTCTTCTCCCGTGACCATAACTATATGGGTTAGAGCTAATTGGTTGAGTATGATAATTTGAAACATGACTTTGAGGTTGAGTTTCACCGCTCATATTCGTTGTTTGCTTCGTTGTCGGAAGACTCATAAACTTATGTGTTCTATGCAAATGGGTAGAAGAATCTCCACAAGAATCATCTTATTGTGGCGTTGGAGATTCTAAGAGGCCATTTTACTTCTACAAATGGGGGAGGTCAGTTTATATAGTCTTTGTGGTTTTTATAAAGGATCACACTTTTAAGTGTTAACGTCATATGTTTTGATTCTTCAGGATATAAATATATATTATGGGGTTTTATTGCAGGAGGAGTCTTGGCAAGCAAGTTTCATCCACGAAAACCATGGCTATTCTTTTTTTTTGAAATTTGCAAGTTGTTTCACATTTTCTTACTTCTTCGGTGTATGAAATTGGCGAATCTAATAGAACATGAATTTGGCGAATTTAGTTGAGTTTTTTTTTCTCCCAAATCTGAGCAAATAGTACGACATATTAGTACAATATGTTGTTTTTTTGTTTTTACTGTTTTATGTTCTTGATGAGACACTAAACATACAGAAAATTAATGCTCTAAAATGCGACCTACACGGAGCTTAGGCGGATTCTATACGCATATAGCGACCAAGCATCCCAAATGTGAGCTATGCGGTAGTTTAGGTGGTTTTATATAATCTGGACTCCTAAAAGCGTTCAAGCAGACATTACGTCAACTAGGAGGATGCTTGAATGGATTCTAGGCCGTCTATTAAGGAAAACATTTACGATAGTTATATAAAAATATATTTAGGGGAAAACTGTCTTCACATTCCATTAATAAGAGATAGTATATATAGGAATACAATTTGGTAAACAATTAAAACTTAAGGAATAACTAAGTCTAGAACATTCTAGAAATTAGGTTAATGGGCATCCACTAAATCATACATAATACTTCCCCTTGGATGTCCATTATAATTGAATAGTTGTAAATGCGCGTAAGATGTTGCCTCATTAAAAATTTAACTAGGAAAACCTAGTCGAAGAAATCATGTTTAAGCGATAAAGAGTGCATCGTATTTACTCCCCCTAATGAGTGCATTTAATCAAGATGCTTGAGACGACATAATCAAAGAAGATGAACTAATTTCTTGAAACTAGCCTTGGTGAATAAGTGAACATTAACATCTCCATTCCCTTAAAGTTCATGTGTGAAAAAGAACTTTGGTAAGATGTGTTTCATTCTATCACCTTTAATATATCATTCCTTCAGTTGTATGATGCATGCAATATTGTCTTCATACATAACCGTTGGAGCTTCTTTCCTTTCAAATATACACTACTCTATCCGTATATGTTATACGACTAAGCATACCCATACAAACTCGGGATTGGCTTCATGAATAGCTAGAATCTCTGTATGGTTAAAAGAAGTGGCTACATTGGTTTACTTCACAGCTTGCTGATATATTGTGTTTTTATGGGTTTTAAATCTTTATTTTCTCTTTTATTTTATAACTTTTATTGAGTCAAAGTGTGTTTTTAGAGTGTTTTAGTTCATTATAGAGTCATAACAGGTTTTAGGTTGCTTTGGAATAAAACGGGCCGTTTTGGGATACAAACACACATTTGAAGATATAGATTCATGTAAAAGTGTCAGATGTTTGGGATCATATGGACAACTTTACCCCGTTAGATCTTTCTCATATTTTTAAACAAC